CTGATGGAGTTATATGTAAGCACAACAACAAGGTGGAGTGCGGAAACGGAAGACATTGGTGGTAGTGAGAACAATGAAAAAACCGGTTCAAGCTATGCTGTATTGCGCTAGCGTACACACAGTTCTTATACTTGGATGTAACTATATATGTACATATATACGTTCATTATTATATTTGTTGTTTTGAATTGCCTTGCGAGCGGACATCTTTGTCAAGGGTTGGTCCATAGCAAAAAGCTAAATTGTAATAAGGGCGTTGTGGCATAATAGGGTGGTGAATTTATGATATATATGTAGGTATATGAAATTACATTTTAATGTACATATGTATATATGTGCATTAGGGTGGCCCAAAGTTTTTTTCCAGCCACTCCCAGAAATGAAGTGCAGTGGACGTATAATATAACGAATCTTATGGTGTTCACCTAAGTGGTAAAATTGAAAAATTCGCTAAATCGAGTGATTTTCAATTAAAGAACTAAAGGCATTCATTAATTTGAACATTTGATGTATTTATTTTTTAAGGAATAGGTCTTTAATCTTTTGCGTTCATAATACAGAAACATCAATGATATAATTTTAATGATTCGTTAAACCGAAAATTTGTTAACCCAAAGTTCGTTGTTCTGTATATATAAAAAAATTCAAACGCCCTATTTTTTTATTTTGAAATCAGTTAATATTTAACTGCGACGCAGGATATCGGAATTTACTGTTCAAAAATTAGTCCAAACCCTGGATTTTTCAACCGATTAATTTAATTTTTAAAATGATAGCTGATGCTGACTTTCGAGCACACTTAATGCTAGCACCATCAGAAAAAATATATAAAATCCACGCGAGCTATTAGCACCCTTAAACTTGCACTTTATCGCGCTAAAATTTAATTGGCTTAAAAACTACCTAAAATGTTTTCAAATTTTCTGAAAAAAGAATGAGAAATTTTGGTAAAAGTAAATTTTACTTTTGTAATTGGTTTTCATTTTGGAGGAACCCAATAATTGTTTTTCACTAGCTTTTATTATGGTAGCATTTATTTATAGGAATAGAGGAATCGATTTTCTTCAAAATTGAAACTTTCCCTGAATTTCGCATAAAAATGCATATTGAAATTCAAAAAAGGGGCTCGACAAATTTGTTATAAATTTAATAGATTGGTTGAAAAGTGAAAGTCCTGGACTATTTTAAACAGTAAACTTCAGTTTAGCACCACTATGCGCCGGGTCTTTGAAAATTTCCATATACATATGTATTTTATATAAGGAAAATAATTTTTTTCATAATATTGGTAAAATTAAATATTTTTTATCGAATAAACATATATTTCTCTTCAAAAATTAAAAAAAATTAAATAAAATTATGATGTGTAAATATTAACCTGACTTTGAATTTTACTAACTATTTTTTCAAAGCCTATAATTTACCTCTTATCACGCAC